TCATTCCCGGGGGTCTCGGTTCATTCCCGGGGGTCTCGGTTCATTCCCGGGGGTCTCGGTTCATTCCCGGGGGTCTCGGTTCATTCCCGGGGGTCTCCGTTCATTCCCGGGGGTCTCGGTTCATTCCCGGGGGTCTCGGTTCATTCCCGGGGGTCTCGGTTCATTCCCGGGGGTCTCGGTTCATTCCCGGGGGTCTCGGTTCATTCCCGGGGGTCTCGGCTCATTCCCGGGGGTCTCCGATCATTCCCGGGGGTCTCTGGGCATTCCCGGGGGTCTCGGCTCATTCCCGGGGGTCTCTGGGCATTCCCAGGGGTCTCGGTTCATTCCCGGAGGGTCTCTGGGCATTCCCAGGAATCTGACGTGAATTCCAGGCCCAGAGGGCTCCGGTTCTCCCGGGGCTCTCCTTCGGTTCCACTTCTGGAGTCTCCACATTCCCAAATCCCGGGAATCTCCACATTCCCAAATCCCGGGAATCTCCTCTGATTCCCAAATCCCGGGAATCTCCACATTCCCAAATCCCGGGAATCTCCACATTCCCAAATCCCGGGAATCTCCTCTGATTCCCAAATCCCATTTTTTTTCCCAGTCTCCACTCCATCCCCCCTCAGCGGGCAGGGAAATCGGGAAATCAGGAAAATCCACTTGGGAAACCCCGGCGGGATCAACAGCTGGGATTTCCTCCCCTTTATTCCCGTTTTTTTCTTCCTTTCCCCCCCCTTTTTCCCCCCTTTATTCCCCTCTTTTTCCCCCCCATTTCTCCCCATTTTTCCCCTTTTCCCCCCATTTTTTCTCCCCATTTTTCCTCCCCTTTATTCCCCCGTTTTAACCCCTTTATTCCCCTTTATTTCCCCCCTTTTCCCCCCCTTTTTCCCCCTTTTTCCCCCTTTTTCCCCCTTTTTCCCCCTTTTTCCCCCTTTTTCCCCCTTTTTCCCCCTTTTTCCCCCTTTTTCCCCCTTTTTCCCCCTTTTTCCCCCTTTTTCCCCCTTTTTCCCCCTTTTTCCCCCTTTTTCCCCCTTTTTCCCCCTTTTTCCCCCTTTTTCCCCCTTTTTCCCCCTTTTTCCCCCTTTTTCCCCCTTTTTCCCCCTTTTTCCCCCTTTTTCCCCCTTTTTCCCCCTTTTTCCCCCTTTTTCCCCCTTTTTTCCCCCTTTTCCCCCCCATTTTCCCATTTTTCCCCTCCCCTCCTCCCTGGCACATCTGGGCTCTCTCCCAGCTGTGGATTTTGGCAGCCGATCCCGTCTGGGAACTGAGCAGGGTTTGTTTTGTCTCCTTCCTGCAATTCCAGGCAGGGAAATTTCCCTTTTTTTTTCCCAAAAAATTCCCAATTTTCCCCCCTTTTCAGGAGGCAGAAAATGAAAGCCGGCTGCAGCATCGTGGACAAGCCCGAAGGAGGAGGGGGTAAGAAATTCCCAAATTATTTTTTGAATCTTTTTTTTTTTCCAGGATAAAAACATTTTCCGGGAATATTTTTCCCAAAATTTCCACTCCGTGGTAGGAAAAAAA